TGATGATGATGATGATGGTGTAGGAGTGCCAATGGCCGCATGGTTGGGCCACGCCTGTCACTGCCATTAGCTATTGGTGATCTGATTCTCCGGGGTTCCCAGAGAAGCAGACTGTAGTTGTCGACCCGATTGAGCGTATTGACAGGTTTCACTTCTTGCTAAGTCATAGAATGTTCACCTCTCCGTCGCTTCTACTCAGCACAAAGATGGGCCAATAGAGCTCTGCAAGGCAGACGGTCCTCTGACATGCGGAGTAATGCCTTAACCAGTGTAACTTATGAAGTGTTAGGCAGGAATTCACACGGATCCCGTTATACTGCACGTCTTTAGGCGCGGCTACGGCCGATAAGCCTGGCCCGCACAAGGCTGGCCCAGAATTCGGGACGCTTGCCGGTCCGGCATCAAGACGAGATCTGATTGGTCAACAATATGGACCAAACAGCCAATCATGACCCAGTACTGGCCAAATGCCGGTTGCCAATGGCGCATCCAACACGCGTCAGAACTTCCAGAAGGTTATAACCGCTTACGCTATATATACGAAGCGCTGTACAATTGTTCTTGACTTCGTTTTGGGCATTAATAGACCTTGTGCACCTTTGGTGGTTGTTTTGACGTGAACGCTAGCTTGGGAGGCTCAGACCGAGAACTAAGCTGAGGAAAATACCGTTACTACATGAAGCATGAGTAACTCATTTATCATGGGAGAGTTCTTTATTCCTGAAACCGTTTGAAGTACCACTAAGCCCGGCAGCTTTCGCATATCCTCTGAGAGTAGAGACCAGACCACAGTTCAGAACCAAAAAGCGTCATGGATCGCACCGCCACCGTGTAGATAAACTGACGTTACACCGTCACCATAGATATTGACAAAAGCTGTCCTGGCCTTCCCGATTCGAAAAGTAATCTCGTCTCCAGCCAGTCCACCGGAACTTATTCAAATGTTCAGGGAAACACGTTTATCCATCATATCGACTGGCTAGTTTGCTAGCATGAGGCTTGGGTGTGATCCTAGACAGCCTTGTATCAGCATTTCACGGGTTGTAGGTTGTATACCAAACCATGCGGTTTGTTCGGAGCACCAGGTCGTCAATAGTGAAATGTATTAATGGCTTTCGGGAAAGTACACTGAGCGATATGGTTGATTACTTTACAAAGGTAGTGTGAAACATTTTCCGTCCAGATATATGCTGGACGGGAATGGTCTGGAGAAGATGAAGCCATTGCTCATCACAAGTAGCAACTGTTGCTTCTACGTGAAGTCTTCGGGAGTTGAACAGATGTGGCAGGTGCACGGCATGGCTTTTATGCACCACAACTTTAGTTATCAAAATATGGCCATGTCCTTCAAACATACGTATTGATAGGTAAATCATCGTCTTTATCTATGCACTGAGGCGGTGGTGAAAAGGGTTTCGAAAAAGTCTTTCGTCTGAATCGCCCTTTCGTTATTTAGGTGCCATGCCACCCGATGCAGGCAAGAAGAGTGACAAACTGCCTGGTTGTTCAAAACTTGACGGGAGTAGTCGGGATGTCAGGGTCAGATTCGAAACACGACCTTCCGTGCGGTAAGTTTGTGCCTTAACCAATGAGCTATCTTGAGCTCAGTAGGTTAACGTCCCAGACGACAGGAACTGGAGCAGCTTGACTGAATCCCACTCTCACGTTTTCGGACGCTTCAGTATCGTCGGACAGAGAAAAACCGATTAGTTCGTGGGCAAGGAGACCACTCTCCGACTACTCACCAGTGGTCACATGATTGTATTAGTTAGCCAGCTGCTGGTAATACCAAGAACTAGACTTGAAGTTTGATTCTCGAGCTGCACAAACTGGAGGCAATCATTCAAAACAGTTAATCAAATGACAGTGTTTCCAGGCCCTCTACATCCAACTGACGAGTTTCTCTGTAAACGGAAGCGACCATGTGGCTAAACCTTTCAGGCTCCGAACACACCTTTACTCAACAGGTTCCGCCAAATATTCACAGTAATCGGGATGGGAACTTAACACAGCATGTTACCAAATCTGACAACAAGTAGCTGTAGCACTATGGACTTTTCGAGAACTACCAATGAAACTGGAAAGTGAGGTGTATGCAAACGAAGTCATATAGGCCAACAATTACTTGGATTTTCCGTGAATGCAAGCCTTGATTTTTGGAAATTTCGGTGAGAAGTGGTGCAAAGCTACCGCCTTCAACATCCAGCTTTACCGATGCCCAATAGAGATGAGTTAGTAGGATTGAAATCATCGTCCTCCCGAGCGTGGTTCTCCTTGTTATTTGGCAAACCAAGTCTGGGACGCGGTTTGCTGCGAACAAACCAAAATGAACCAACCAACCAACAACCAAGTACTACAACATTCAATGAGTGTCTTTCACAGAGTCGTACACATGAATAAAGACAAGACTCGGTCAACACCAAAGACCACAGCTCTAAGAATTCGATAGCGGAAATCACTAACGTGCTGCCTTTGAAATCCATCACAATAGCATGTTGCAGGTTTGCTTCCTTCAAATGTTCAACGGCTTGTCTGATTGTACAGTCAGAGGAGATGCTTGTCGCTTTGGCGACAGTCTTCAATAAATCTCTTGTCGAACGCTGCGTCCAACTGGAAAAGAAACGGCAAACACGTGAAATACAACAAAGCAATGGGAAACAAACATGAAAAACGAACAGGGGAAGACCATGGAAAACGTATCTCTCACGTTCTTGCCATATCAACAAGTTATAGAGGACTCAACTCCGATCACCTCCCAGGTGGAACTCCATCAAGAGTCCTAATGGATAAAGTTTGATGTTTTCGATAACCAGAGGAATCCCCTCTTTTTAACCTTTGAGGAGACAGTCATGAAATACACAGTCACAACGTGTCAGTTAATCAGTTCTCTTTTTGCTTTCCTTCAAAAAAGGGACTTTTGTCCTCGCTAGTCATTGAAAATGCGACGAACTGGCGGTCCGAAAACCCGGCCTGTTGGTGCAAACACAGAGCGTGGAAACTGAGCATCATGTTATGACAATATATGAGATAGTGACCCAAGGATTGAACACTTATCAACCAAGGGGTTATCACATTCGTCAAACAGCATTTAGCCAATCTGCTTGCATCCCAGAGCGAGTGCTTCCCATCCCCTTTTGGCACCTGACGCACCAAACAAGTGACTATAGAGAACTGTCTTTCGGCCTAGATTCGCCAACTATGAAGACAGTATAAATATACAAGATCAGGGTTATATTACCAAACTCGCCATACACCCTCTAGACCAATAGCCACTCATTTAAAATAGTATAACCAGCCAGTAACCGGTCTTTCCACTTTCTAAGTCACTTTCCAAGCCAGTAGAACGCTTTAAACGGATGGTATTTTATCGGGCAAGAAAGCCGAAACAAACAAGGCAGATGGCAGGATGCGACCCCCCAGTCTGGTATGGATTGCGAACAGATCGGCAAAGTTGACATGCAATAAGAATGTACAACTCAAATGAAACCTCTACTGATCGGTGAGAGAAGCGAAAATTTCAACGGAGTACTTTTCAAAGCAGATGTGATTACTCTACGCTACACTGCGTAGAGCGTTTGTGCGTGAGGGCACGATTGTGTGAGAAACTGCGTGGTTCAACTGGTCATTCTAGAGTATTCAAGGAACTCAGTACCGTAGATACAACGCATTCGAAGCTGGTGAGGTACGGAGCTTTGTCCAGAAGCATTTGTTTTGATTTCAATGAAGGCCTCGATACCGACAAGTCCACATCAAAGGAAAAAGGAGCACTGGATTCGAGTTTCGCTCTTATTAGAGCCCATTAGCAGTGCATATCCAATGGTCATGTCGGGGTTTAAACTCCACACACCTGATATGCGAGGCTGTTAGCACTATTCAGTCAGCGCGTGCTGGATGAATCTGAATTTTTACGTCTGAACAGGTGAGTGATGCGAGTGGGAAGCCCGACGCCTTGATTACCTAGTAACATACCTTGGTTGTGTCGGTCGACTGACCCGCCTGTCATGACTTCCCAGTCAGGCGGTGTCACAGACGCCTGAAACGCGCTAGAAAACTTTTGATTTTTATGGAGGAAACTACTCACAAGGTTGCTGAAAACTCTTCGACAGCCCACGATCGGTTTTGCCCTTCTTGGGGCTCATCAGGTAAGCGCGCTCCCAGAGTTTCCGTCAACCTTATGTTCTACTTGAACCCAAATTGGACTATTTTCGAAAATACATCCATATGCAAATCAATTTGGTTTTCACGAGACTCAACTGAATCTCTCGTTTATGGTGTTCTACAACTGAATGTGCTGCACACAGGCCGCCTCATGATTCGGTTGGCACGATATTCGAGAAATCGCAGTATATTTTCATAAATGAAACGAGAGATTCGGTTGAGTCTCCCGTGAAAACCAAACTGATTTGCAAATGAGTGTATTTTTCGAAAACTTGATTTTGTTGTGGGCGCTCATGGGACAGGAGAACGAATGTTTAAACGAGAGTGATGTGAATTTGAACAGTAAATATCTGGCAGCTGCACACAGCAAAAATGACGAGCCTGTGTCTGACAAAACTTTGTATTTGGGAAGTAGTTATACTTCATTAAAAGATACGCGGTCACCTTTTCCCCCAAAGAGCTGTGCTGTTTATCCGCTTCAGAAGAACATACAAAAAAACCTACCAAGAGAGGGTGTCGAGGGAGCCGCGAGCGAACAGCCGGGTTCTCGAAATCAAGAATGTTAAACTCTTTGGAGAGTTGGATACCAGAAAAGTCAGATACGACAAAGAAAAGTCATGTGTTTTTGAACTGCGTACTGACTCGCAAAATACGAAACGGCCCTACCAAGACTGGTGCACAGAACCCTGATATTGAAGAAGGTTTTCGTTTACTCAGACAGGGATAAGAAGAGCTTCCAGTTAGTCAGGCGCTTAAAAAATCCATCTTCTGGAAGGATGAAGCTTAAACAATGCCAGCATGTTGAAATCGTACAAAGAATCCCTGTCATAGTGGGTTAAAAACGTAATTCATGTGTTGGAAATGCAAACTGAATCTCTTCACAGTTATCCGGTAATCGCGACACAAAGGACAGCATACACATTACCATGAAACTTACTGGGTGCGGAACTCTTTTGCATCGGGAAAATCAATAAAGTTCCGGTTGTACATCCACATGTCCGAGAGGAGTTTGGTCCTAGGATATGAAGAGAGAGAGAGAGGAGAGAGAGCGGAAGAGAGAGAGAGAGAGAGAGAGAGCAAATGAAACGACAGCTAGTTGAAGAGACCGAAATGTACTGACTACTTATACCTAAAGTTAGCGCATGATATACCAGTACACTCAGAGTCAATGCAAAACTACACCCACGTTCTCATGGATCGATACAACTAACTCCCTCCCAAGAAGCTCTAAGTGGATTGGCGCCCACTCGCACTGATTCTTGTCTGAACAAGACTACTTCGAGTTTGCACACCGACTGAGCGCAAGTTGCATCAACGCACAACTAAAGCCGTGATTCAAGTAACCGATGAACCGAAAGGAAAGTGACGCGCGTAGAGGGAGAGGTTTCGAAAACAGTTTTAACTGTTACGTGGTACTCATGCATCGCCAGGACATTCGGCGATGACAGGCGATTTAAAACTGAAACAGACTGAGGAGAGAAGCCAGCTAAACTGTTCGCAAAGCAAAAAGAAACGTGACTTCCCTCATAAGAACGCCCCTGTTTAAGGGACGAAAAATGAAACATACTCTACAAGGAGCCAGAGACCTTTCAAGTTGGGGCAGAACCCGTCAACTGCCGCTTATAGGTCACTGAAAGAACGTCATGCCTTGCAGACAACAGGCGATGTCTGAATTCACTGGTAATACTACGCATTACTGTTCTTTTAATGTGGGCGCGGAAAGGGGAAACGAATTCCCTAGGTGTATTTGTAAGCGGAAAATCGGCGAGTGATTAAGCCGTGCCTTTGAACGGGGAGACACATGAGCAGTTCATCAACGAATCAACTTCTAGTGAATTGGCCCAACAAAAGTCGGATTAGTGTCCTTGGCACGAGTGGTGGACGGGATGAAAAATCATGCACAAGCGATGTGTTTGGATAGACCGTGTTGGGCTCTTTGTGAGCGCTTTGCAATCAGCCCTGCAATTTTTTTGTATTCAGTTGCTTATGAACAGCAATGAGGACAGCAAACGTAGTTAAGTAGCTGAATCAAGAGTTTCACCTGAAATTAACATCTGTCGGTCGTCTTATTAGTGGTCGGCAGACAGATGACCCACACAAGCACAAAACATCCAAGCAAAGGGGCACGTGACTGACCCCAACGACAAAGGTATCGTGTAGCCAGGATTATTGGTATCCCATCACATTCTTTCCATAAATGTTGAAGATACATGAAGTCGCGCGGTGCGAACTGCGTGAATGAAGATCAGATGGCAGTATGTTTTTCAGGCCCATTCAGATAAGTGTTTCTACTACTCGATGAGTGGTGAGCTCATACTCGTGTTTGTATGGTCAAAACCCATCTTGAATTTCCTATCCGCTCTTTTGGCGCGGGACACTGGTCAGTGAAGGATGGTTGCATATCGTATGGGATTCATGTGTCACCTGCCTATTTTAAGAAGCATTGGCCGTTGTGTGGTACAAATCCCCTCAAACGGTCAAACTTGTGCTCACTGCACTGGTCAAATGTGGATCTACCAACCCCCTTGAAAGAATGATCAACCGAGGTGCGGAAACGGACATTACGGCATATAATCCTGAAGGAACACACTACAAAGCTAGTTTCAAAATGAATGCATTTCGCGAACAATAAAAATTATTTGGCTGAAGTCCCACTAGGGTGCACAGCTGCGACGCAAAAAGGACATGAGGGCTGAGATATTACCGGACTGCCCAAGCCTAAACATGAGCAATCAAAAAGCTAGGGTTGAATCCGATCCGCGGACCTCTTGGTCAATAGCCTCGCGCCTTAACCGTTGAGTTATGCCGGACAACTGAATACCCGCGATTCTGACAGGGACCGAATTGTTCAACTTTCTAAAACGAACACCGTTGTGGAGGATAGCAGCTGAAAAGTTGAATGCCAAGTTTGCTTAAAATGCAGTCAGACCAGGTGCCGTACAAGCTTAGTAGGTGCGGTGTCCTTGAAATAGTCAACACCACACCGTACAGCTTGTTCAAAACGAAACTTTGTCCCAGGCATCAGTACCAGGAGATGTTTTGTAGGGGTATAATCTTTTCGACAAACCAATCAATTTGGTTTTGACGGGAAACTCACCTGGAACCCAGCTGAATCTCTCGATTTTTATGACCTTTACTTTGGCCACTAGTGCAACGGCCATCGACGTGATTAGGTCTGCGAACCGTTCGCAGTGGAATCAAGCGTCAACTGTAATGTACATAAGGCATAAAACTCTTCAAAAATTGTTTGTCCCAATGGAACACCAACTAGCCGCAGTAGTTTCGCGTTTGTCAACCATGTCACCTTGCAAACGACGGACTTGACAAACTGTTCGCACTGAGTCAGTCATCAAATACAATCTTGTCGAGCAATACTACTTTCGACATCATGTATTTTGGCTCTGGGAGTTTTGATATGATTCGCCTAAATGAAATAGGGCCCTATATAAGCCGTTTATCATAGACTGTATTTTAAAACCACCCAAGTAAGTATCGGTACAGATGCATTGGAGACAAGTCACAATTTGATGTCCACTGATACAACGATTGTGTTGAGTTCCAACGAACTGTTGGGTTCATTGATGATTCGAAGGTCTCTGGGGGTATCTAGTGTAGATATAACAGGGTTAAGAAAGCTTGCTGGTGATAAATTAGCAAACAGGCGGAAACAATCTTCAAATCACGTGGCGTAAGCTGCCCAATGAACGACCAATAAGTGATTAATCTGTTCATTTCGTGCGCTGCATTTGTCTAGCTGAGTGCATCCAGAACCAACAGATGAGCCCGATTCGATCGATAACCAAGCCTCAAGGTATCGATCGAATCCTGGCCACGAGCAACTGAATGGTAGTCGTACTGCAGGCAAATTTCGGTCAATATGGCCACTAGCTATAAATACTATTGTTTTTATATGCGCACAAAAGTTAAGAACGCATTCGGTTAAAGGGGTTCCGGTCAAGAATATTGGAAAAAACACGGGCTGAGGTATTAAACTGGCCAAAAACACGCATCCGACAGGCATAAGTCCAATGCTTGAGAGAAAAAATACATACCCTATGTTTCTCCCTGGAACTTCCGGACAAGTTGTAACCACACCATCCCTGAGGCTTTTAAGGTTAAGGCCTGTCAATTGTTCAATCGGTTATCGCAGTAGACGACTAAGGAAATTAACATCAAGAGCGAGGGACGACCGAGACATGACCGAGAGGAACAGTATGATACATCAAATCAACTGCAACAAATTCTACGTTGGACAAACCGGAAGGAAATTATACACACGAATAAAAGAACACAACACGACCGTCAGGGGACATGACCCCTTATCCTTGATATCCATACACGAAGACCAAGAAGGCTGCAAATTCAATCTGAAAAACGCAAAATTTTTGGCACACGGAGACACGATACACGGAGGGGAAAGCGTGTAGGCACGGTACTCCACGGCGGATTCGATCAACCGATGCACTGAACTGGATCCAATTTACGCACCGCTAAGTGCAAAGGACCGACATCTCAGCTGGGACACTCAAAGAAAACCGAATAAAGGATTCACAAACAGAAGAACAAGGAACTCCTTGGATTCAGATCAATAAAGATGACTCGAAGGGCCAAGGACAGAGGTCACTCCAGCATCGACCAGAGTACGAGGGCAGGGGATGCTAAGCTCAAAGGTCATCCGGTTATCGGCGATTCAGGACACAGGATATCAGAGCAACCAATGGAACCGACCGAATAACCGTGATCTAATGTCAGCCTCCGCTAGCAGCACGTATAGTAACACACACGCAACACTACTCACAGCACAACCACCAACCTATCGCTACGCTTCCTAATAACGCACTGATGATGTCACATCGATTGGTGATGAAACACTTGCAACCAATTGTCAAGCTCAGTGAATAGACCAACTACGCCACAACAACATCGCCAGTAATATCTATGAAATCTCTATGATAGTTTATCTCGACACTCTCCCCAGAACACCAAAAGGGAAGCTACTCAGTGAGGTGAAATCTATTCAGATGGAAAGCGATTCTGTAGACATTTTTTTACTCCAGTTGCGCCATCATCACCAATTATGAAGTACTTTCGTGAACCATGCGTACACTTCAGTCAGGTAATCTATACGGATGATGTCGGAGTTGGGTGGTTGTTTCTCCAAACGGCAACCCCGTCTGTGCCTAAAGCAGGGCGGATGCATACTGCGGGTAGTTGAATTTAAAGAAACTCCCAGTATTTTGTCGGACATGCACAGTCCCATTGTTTGAGACTACTAAAAGGTGTATTTTTACCCAAACATTAGCTTTTTGCTACGCGGGTGACTCTCGCACCTGTGTTCTTTTTGAGACACGAATGAGTTTGGTAGAGATTTCGTCCTGTAACTGAGGCCAATCCCACGAAACCCCAATTGAGTGTTTCAAACCCGCGACCTCCTGGCTGCTAGATTGAACACTTAACTGTTCAGTCACGAGCGTGAGATGCGCACTGCTGACGATTCCCAATACGGATGAAACAGCTGTAAAGCGCTTCTCGGCTGTTCAGCATAGCGTGCCTTCGCTTACAGGACGAAGTCTCCACTAAAATTCCCAAATCCCCTAACACTACCAAAAATAAATGAATTTACATTTCGCCCCATGACCAGCTTGGTGACAAACCGGAAAGTGTAAGAATGATATTACAGGGGACCCTATATGTGAAAGGAGCTGTAGGTGCTTCTTGCTGGGTTGCCGTATTTAGGAGGATTCCCATTCAAAATATCGGACACCATCCAGTCTGAGATTATTCTCGTTTGTAGGGTTCTTGAAATAAAGGGACATCGGATTGGGATTTCGGTGAAAATTTCTAATCAAACTTTCGTTCTGTAGGTGAAGTCCATCTGTGCCGAGAAGTGGAGAAGCACTGTACAGATTTTTTTAATCCTTATTCGGAAATATCTCCAGCACACACCTGACAATTTTCCAGGGAGTCCCGAGTCCGCGGCGTTCCGGTCAGTATAGGAGGACTAAACCGTTCGGCCATGAGCGGGTAATCAGCGGTGTGATTAACTTGTATTCAAAGAGAGTATAGAATCCCTCATCTTTTAAACACGGAATCTACATCAAGTGGCTACGTGTTGACTGGCTCCCCGAGTGACGAATTCTCAGATAGATGGTTCACGCGATTCGTGAAATCAGATGAGGAGTTCTCTACGGATACCGCATCATACTGATTTGACCTACTAATCACTTGGCTACATGAACCTTACATTAACGAGGAACGAACCGGTATCCTTATCACAGGTTTCTAGAACTGGTGTATTCAAGATCAAATAACAACGCCAACCTATAGAGTACCTCCAGAAAATCAACCTGTTCTATGTTGTACAAGGAGACTAGCTTCACTTTCGACAAATATACCAAACCTGTGGACCACTATCCTTCATAAACGCAGCTTTGTCGTCGCGCCGGTCAGTGACCAAGGTGACCCCGGATGTCACAGTCTATACGGAACCGCAAAGTTGTTTACTTCGATATCTGACTTCCGGTTACAAGACAATAATGTCGATTTGAAACACAGTTGTATCAGACTGACTTAGATGGCCACGTAACATAAACAATGATACGCATTTTCGAACATATTTAGAGTAGGTAAGTGCGCGAATAGAATTTGACAGAACACATCAATATCAAGCGAGCCCAGTGTTATGGCAAAAGTGTTATGCCGTCCTGCTTACTCTAGAGTGTGAAAACTGAAAACAGCTACACAGACTGGGTGCAGAGGCTTAAAGAGTGATCTCGAGCTGCTCGAGAATGCCAGCGCCAGATGACACGCAGATGGCGCTTGCAAAACCGATTCAGGACGAACGGATTCAGCAATCCTAACTGAAGGACCTACAATGAGAGTTATTATAATGGAATGAGGTGAGGAGGTAGGAAAAGGTTCGTGTAAGAGGAAGAGAGACGTCAGTAATAGCCTGTTTCCGCTTACCCGCCATGCTGTATGCAGCAAATAAAACGCCCCGGCTCGCGCCCGCACCACGTAAATGCTGATGTGGCTAAGATTATTGGTAAGTGTGCAATTCATGGTAGTAAGTATACTGGGATACTGTCAGGGTCCCTGAGCCTAGAAAACAGAACGATTAAGGTCGTTGAACAAAGCCTTTGGCTCAAAAGCTTGACCACAAGGCAGCAGTGTCTGGCGGAAAATGCAGGTGTATTAATACTTCTTATAGAACAAGTCGACATACATGTTTAACCCCCAACATGAAGGGCCCTGAGAATGTGTTGGTCAGAATTCTAACCATTGATCAATCTGGCATGAGAGTGTCGCACGGATATCACCGGTCGTGGAGGCACACAGACCGTTACGCATCGGTAAAGTCCTGCCTCTTCGTGACGATATTGCCAGGATTCATGAAGTTTATTGCGCATGCTGCACACAAGCATGTTTTACGGCCATGGGGAGGTCTGCCAATTTGTAGGCCCACATGGAAAGCCATATCCTGGACACTAAATCACAATCAATGGTGGCACAAAACGGTCGGCAGTGAACGATTTGTGATTATTTAGGTCTGGCCACTGAATCCGCACCGCAGCGTTTTAACAAAGTCCACAACATTAGCTGTGAAAGAGGAAAACAGGCCGCTAAGTGTCACTCCACAACGAACAACAACTTACATGTAGTTACGTATTGAATCAGGCAAGATGATGAGCAATCGGTGTCCTTCACCAAGTTTGTAATCATGAGCTGCTCGGAGCGCCACAACCAGAGCAGCTCCGCTACTTCCACCTGGAGGGACAGAGTTCGAACAGTTAGAGACAAGAGCATATGATCGCACGTGCAGAGGTCACATTAGCAGAGAAACAGCTTTAGTGGGATTCGGGTGTACAATCACACTAACGACAGGTAACACGTAAGGAGCCGATAATGTATCACATGTGACAGATGATAACCATCATTCGCTGCTTCAATTACACATAGAACGAGACCTGAAACCAACGTCCTCTCCCGAGATGAGTTTAATGAAGACGTGAGCTTTAGTGATCTTACATTGGAATAAGTTTGTATGGAAAACACTGCCTGAAGCAGCGAAACTGTTGCCTACATATGGGTGAAAAATTGCGTCTTTTTCTACGGTCAGTTTCACGCGTCTATTTGCAAGTTTACTCACGAAAGTATCGGTTCGAACCACACATCTCGCGGTTGTTAGGCCTGCGCCTTAACCACTGAACCGTCTCGAGCTTAGTTCTAGGTTCTTTAACAAATCGACGAATGCGTTAGAGAATACTCGCCAGCATTTTCAGTAGCAAATGTATTGTTTCGCTATTAGGCGAGTTGTTGGATCGGCCTAAAGCGGCAGTTAGACCTATAAACTTTGGATAAACTATATAAGCTATGAGTACGCCATGTCTTTTCATAAGCGGTTGTGGAGAACTGTTAACGTGATTTCAGACGCTTCAAGCATGCTGCTGTTTTGTCGTGCGCGTTTTGTCCTCATCGGCTGTTGTCTGACTGAACTGGGCCGCATCAGACAGAATGTCTGTCAGGTTGCGTAGGTAATCAGTTTTATTTACCAAAACTACCCGGGCGTCTTATCAGGGCGGCTGATTCAAGTATCTCCTCGATCAGGTAGCTCTCTTAAGGATTTCATTTCCCTTGAATGTATCTGTACTATTCCATGGAGCGTTCTGTCGCCAACTTGACGGAGTTGCTACGGGCTCATTACTGGGACCGATGTTACCCGACAACTTCAACCACGTACAGATAATTTCGTTTTTAGCCAGTGCAAGCGAGACAGTGTTTGGTGAGGTCAACATCTTGATTAACTTAATCTCGAGGGGGGAAGCCATTCTTCTCAATTCGTCCTAAAGGGCCCCATTATGAAACATTCTCTGTGTACCGTAAGCCTACCAGATCGGAGTAGTATATTAAACTAAAACCGGAATGTAATCTAAACGTAATACATTTCTTATAAAGTTACGAAATACTCCTCGACATGTGAGCTGATTCACAGCTGTAAAGACAGTAAAAGAACGGCTTTCCGTGGTGGCCAAAGTTTCGAGGGACAGTGTACATCCGATGGTGAACCGGTAGGCATAATACAGCTGCTTAAGCCTTCGGAGTTGTATGATTTCAGAAAAACTCACGGAAAACCCATCTTTGTCCATAAAAAATCTTATGTCGTGAACAGCCAGAGAGAGCCACGCATGACACTATCAGGAAAGTTAGGTTCCTGAGAGCAACCACTGAATGCCCGAAACCTACTGAGACCCTCAGCTCCGCCAGATGCTGACCAGACAGACAACGACCCCTCAATAGGCAATGCGTCACAGCCTGGCACCAAAGCCAACCGCGCGCGTCAGTATTGGACCAAGTTCAGACAGTGTCTCTACAATAACTAGCTTGAGACGTATTTTCGCACTCGCAGGTACTCACGCTCTCGCTTGTTCGGAATTTAGCTAATGTGTTCCCTTCTGTGAGTCTTTTTTCCGGTACTAGGTACTGGAGCGGGATCAGTAATCAGATACAACAGACTGGCGACAGGGATGGAATAATTGATACGGAAACGACATGTCAATCAATTATGGCCAACTGAGTGCCCGATCCCAAAGGCCGAAGAACATTTACTAGACCTCAACCTGCTGCCTGAACCCCTAGATCTCCCAAGACCAGCACCAATACAACTGTCCCACAGATTTTTCACACACTAACCAATCTTGTCTGTGGAAAAACAAAACAATCCACGGTTTTCTTCTCAAGTCTACTGTCCCCGCAGTCACCTCCGTCAATTTTTTCCCTAGAAATCATGAGCTGCACGGAAACTATGGGTTTCGGGATAGGATGCAGCTAAATTTAACCAGGCTTAGCAATCCGAAATTGACATTTCACTAAAACAGGAGCATCAGACAGATCGGCGATCGGTTGGGCAGAAAAATTGGCGCCACGAGATGTGGCCATTGAATTGTCAACCGGGAGGTAGACATCCGAAGTTGTTAAGCTATCACGTGCAGGCTTGCTTACATGGGATCCCAAGGCCTTCCTCGTCCAGATGATTGTCCTAGCAAATGGCTGGAAACACTGTGGGATACATGGCAAATGGTCAAACCAAGTCGCGACATGCATTTCCTTTCTAGCTGGACCGACAAAGTCAGTCTGCCTTTGTGCACCAGTCTCGTGTTCATTGTGATGGGAAAAAGACGTCCGGTCAATCCTGCTGGTTGTGTCTTACCTTGACGTTATGTTCATGAGTTTGATTCACTAGTTTATTCAACATCGCTTGGAAGTTCAATTTTTGTTCAAGTTGCTTTTAATTTATCTGAACCAACAAGGGAAAATCCACAAAAAACAAGAGTGTCACAGACTGGAGAAGCAATCGATGCAACCCTTTTCTTACCGCACAAAAGTCCTTCCTCTCGGATGAGTCTACGAGCCATCAGTAGGGATTCTTGATCCGACGTTTTGTACCATTTGTCAACCCCGGATCGATCCAGCACAGTTGGAATAAAGTCGTAGCCAATTCCTTCGACTTCGTACGGGTCATGTATATCGGTTGTTGTGTGAGCCAGAATGGAGCCCTCAGGATCGACCGCAACAATCTAGCGGGCACGGTTCCAAATGGAACAGTTGTCAAATAGCATTTTTTGAAACTATATTGACGATGAAAGCGTTAAGGTCAGACCGCTGAGCAGACGTCCGCTATACCCAAAAAACTTCAACGCATCATCACTAGATCAAACAAGTTTGTTTTTGCAGTAGCTCGCGAGTGTCTAGTTGTGTGGTTGATCAGCGAGCTGTTGATTTGTTCGCCCATCCACCGAGCTGCACACTGATGAGGTCATTTCGTTTGGTGACGAAATGTTTGCAAGTTCGGCGAACAGATCAACATCTACCTAACAAACAACCAATGTTTGTTCTTAGTTCCGACGGTTGTTGTCGAAGTAAGAAAATTCGGCCAAACGATCATCGTGGACTTTAAAATAGGACCCCTGGATGCCATTCTGATATGATGAAGTATGAGGTGAAGATTGGGGATAAAAAATCAAAACGTTTCGACTAGAGCTTTTACTGCCCAGAACCGAAAAAAGGGGTTCCAAACATGTGTGTGGACATTCTAGGATACCGTTGACGTTGGTATACACGATTAATACTATGAACTTTTGGTCACTTTTCGCCTACGACAGTCTGCACTCAACTGTTGATATTGGCATTCACATAGTTACATAGCACACAGTTCGATGCTGTGGTAAGCATGTTAGCAGAGATGTAGTCAATCTATACTGAAAATCCAAGTACTGTGCAGCTGTTTCATCCTTGTTGGATAAGATAAAAATAATCATTCAGCTGTAACACCCTTTCGGTGACTAGCTGCCATGCAACCCAAAGGGAGCACGAGGGCTGGGATACTGTCAGGTTGCCCAAGCCTAGACAGAAGTCGAGAGGCAGAGGTCGGGTTCGAACCACGGACCTTGCAGTCAGTAAAGTCGCACTCTAACGCCACAAGTTGGGAATCATCAGCAGTGCTCAACCTTAGGAAACTCCAGTAAAGAACGCAAGACCTCCCTGCTAGTGGTATGGACAATGAACCATTCGGTCATCGACGGCTGATCAGCAGTATGAATAACTCGTTCGGAATTCACAGGAGTTTCTTGAGCTGTCAATTGCTGATTATCCGCAAGAAAGATTAAATAGCCCTTCGGCTTTACTCACAGGACGAAATCAAAACCCTACAACAACCTGACACTATCAAAACGTAGGTAGAATGTGGAAGTTCTCTGTCATTCCGCATCTCTCCACTTCAGTGTAATCACTGAGTGTACCAGGTTTAGTTCCAGGTGGATTTTCGCATTGTAGCCACAGACAGCCAGTCTTAAACTTATCGCTTGCCGTACTTCAGGTTACCTGTGACTGTAAAAGTAGAGAATTCCGGTTAATGTAGCGATGTTAGTTGCAGTCCATTCGAGATGGAATAACACTTGTCAAGTGACGATATTATCACTGAATTCAACCATTTAACAGAAGTACACGAAACAGAAAAAAACAATTGTTTACACTGAAGTAGACCGTGACCACAAACATCACCGATTTCCATCGACTGGGCAGTTCTTACGTGGAAAACGTGAGTGACATGAAACGTCTTCAGTAAAAAAAATGATGGCATCAGTGTTCGGTAATTATTCTTTATCATCCTAATAGCTGAAGACAGATGGAGCCGTCCATTTTGGTTCTCATAAAGATGGTCATGCGACACAATATTACCGAGTAGTCGAAACCACCGACAAGAACGATCGATGAAAAGACAAACAGGTGTACATAAGTGAACGTTCGAAATTTGATGTTCCAATAGAACATAATAACGATGGAGACTCGGGGGCTACGTCTACCCCCACGAAGAGAGAAACCGGCCAAGGAGTTTTCAGCAACCTCACGAGCAATATTCCATCTTCAAGGAAATACACTGCGACATCTTGAATATCATACCAACAAGGAACATGAGGCGCTGTCTTTTTGCACCACATCCAGTCAAAGAGAAGCATTGCAAACGATAGATTCACGCAGGATCCTGTCAAATCTCCTGTTAAAACCAAATCAATTTGCAAATCAGTGTATTTCACAAAGACCACAGTTCTTTAGTCCGGCGCAGTACAAACATGCAGAATGCATGAGGGTAATGTGAACGCGGACAGCAAAGTTCTGGCCTGACTGCACAAGTGACACCAACATTGTAACCTTGGAAAGAAACTCGGAAAGTATAGAAAGAAATCGATATACAGAAATCGACGCATTAAACAAGATAATACGATCAATGCATTGTCTACGAAAAGCGTATAGTTTTTTTCTCAAGGGACTGTTGAGACTAGTCACGTCAATTGCTCCTGAATTAGGCACTTCGCATCTGAACCGTCAAAAACTCGCTGAAAAATGGACGTTCGGGAACATCCCAATCCCGTTTAAAGCCTTTTGTTAGGCGATATTCGGTCACGCTGACATCATCTTGATTCCGAAGCATGAATAAAATCATCGATCCGAAGACCTTTCGTTGCAAGGCTGTTCATCCTAGTTATGCCACAGACAGGACTTGGCAGTGTGTTTTATTAATCGTCTTGCCAGAATCCTCAGTCCCAGGGATGGTGAATGCAACTCAGCAGCCCATATGGTTGTGGACTTCCTTGATGAATGCGTTGACCAACGGTGAGATGGCTCAGTGGTTAGAGCACGCGAATTTACTGACTGGAAGGTCCGTGGTTCGAACCCGACCTCTGCCTCTCGACTTCTTGTCTCTGTCTCTCTGTTTAAGGCTGGGCAAGCTGGCCATATCCCAGCCCTCATGCTTTATTCTGGTGGCATGGCAGTTAGGCACGAAAGGGTGTTACAGCTGAACGACTATTTTATTATTTTGTTATTGACCGAAGGTGCGGGAACAGCAAATGGGTGCATACATAACAATCATCTAAGGAGTGATACCAGAGCTTCATAGCCTCTCATTCTCAAGAACACGCAACAGTATGCCATACACGCGCAACTTGTTAGCGATTCAGTGCTGATTACGTCCGTGTTACAAAGTATCTATTCATTATACAGTGCAGTCCGGTCACAGTTTAGTGTGGAATATCTATCTATGGACAGCAATAACCTAGTCGCCCATAGTAAAGTCAGATGAAGGAAAGAGGGAAACTAGAATTTCGTTGGACCCACTGGACATAAATACTTTGGAGTAGAAATCAATCACACAAATGATGAAAAGAAATGGAAGAGAAACATCCAGTAAAATTCGCTTTCTTGCCTGAGGTTAGTTTTCTGTCTTCGAAGCGACCAAACTATTTAGTCACTGGTTTATCGAGTTGAACATACCTCACAGTTGGGAATTTTCTCCTTCAGTTTCCGCGACAATCCTGTCACCGTTCCACCAGTACCAGCCCCAATGACTATGAGATCAAGTTTGACTGTGCCATCTTCCCCTGCACAATCGTTCAAAATCTCCTCCGCCGTTTGATCATAATGCGCAATTGGATTATACTCATTTGTGTACTGATTGAGAATGTGAGCACGTGGGCCGAGTTGTTGCTTGATGCGTTCCGCCGTCCGGATGTGCGAGTCCTCTTCGTCAAAAACTGCCGACGTGCGGGTACGAACTATTTCGGCACCAAGACCACGAAGCATGTGCTCCTGTCATGCGAGTGAATACAAGATTTTAACTGCGGTCATACCATACCATACCATGGGTGCATCCTGACTCACCCAAAAGGAAAGCAACATCCTCTTTATTTGGATAACTGCAAGATAGTGAATACAGTTTCTCTAATTTGGAACAGATGTGACAATAGATAGCCGCAAAATGTTAACCTCCCAATAGCAATCAGCTCGTGTACAGGAATTTTGCAATTTGGGCCAAAAGTAGCCAGGAATTCGTGTAAGCTTGAATGCCAATTATAACTAATAGAGTTTTAAGTCGAAAAAACGTTCAGCTGTAACACCCTTCCGGTGCCTAGATGTCACACTACCCGAAGGAAGCACAAGGGCTCGGATACTGCTAAGTTGCCCAAGCTTAGACAGGGGGATTCGAGAGGCAAAGGTCAGATCCGAACCACGGACCTTCCGGTCAGTAAACTCGCGCTCTAACCACTTCAGCTATCTTGCCTTGACTGGTGCGCACTCGTGGTGGCTCGGCGGCTAAGATGCGGACTTAAAGACCGGAAGGTTGGCAATTCGAACCCGAACTCTGCATCTAGAGCGCTCCTATCTGAGCTTAGGTAACACGGCAGCATCTCAGCCTTCATTCTACCCTTGGACGGCATCGAAGCTATGCACCAAAAAATTGCCATAGCTGAATTATCACTGATCGTTTGATCGATGAATGTGGCATTTTGCCTACAGAGGTAACTGGGAAGTGGTATGCTGGTATGCGTTTCTGGATTTGCCTTTTACATTGAACTACATCGATGGATCAAACTGCACAGTACGCAGTGTCGCATGACGTTTACGACGAGCTGTATGTGCAAGCAGCTGAATGTTCTGCACTTGCAGTAGATTCATAATTGAACAGAAGGAGTAGTTCTACAGCCAACACCACACCTAAATGGTGACCCCTAATCTTCAGGTCTGGTGACGGTAGATTAATTCAGTTGAAAAGTGTTAGACATGGGACCGCCACCAGTAACACGCGACTCGAGTTGAAACTGTACACAAAGGCAGATCCACTGGCACTGACCAACACAGCAGTCAGTTTTATGCACCAGCCACTGCATCTACCAGCTCACTTGCAGGTATGCTAGAAATAAGAGAGGACTTAGGATAAGGATAACGCCCACCTAAACAAATTTGTGCTCTAGTTTATGATGCAGACACTAAATTGATTTTGTCGACCACAAGAAATTTGATTGTAGCTTAAAATAACTTTGGAATTCACTCACCATTACGGATCATCGCAAGATGCGTTTGATTAAAAATCAACCGATCGACAGCAACGCAGTGTGCTCAGAAAGACTTGAGCGTGACCCAGAGATCATCATGGATTCGATCAGTTTATCATGTAATGGGATTTGCTTAAGAGTCCCCTTCTAACTGCACTGTCCGTTACGGAATCAGTCCATAATTGTTGTCACTCGGTTATTCAGAGTGATCAGGGTAACAGGACTTTCGTAACGTAGCTTGTCTATGAGTACGGGTTGAACGAGGTCTCGAGAGCCAGGAGTGTGTATGAAATGAGACTAGCTGAATATATTACCGCTCATTGCGACAATGGTCTCACCTAAAATCTTAATTGGGTTCGCTGACTGGCGTTCGGGCGTTCGATCCACGTGCGGATACCTGAGAGCTGATGGCTAGACCCCACTATGAATACCTAACGACTATAGGTTTGCCGATGAAGACAGACTTTTTAAAAAAAAATTGGGGAGAGTAAGAGTAAACAGTTGTTCATAGGGGTCTTCCACCTCATATAAACAGACCAACTTATTTTTTTGAGTTTCCACGTTATCCTTCTGTCTTACACTCGAGAAAACTGGATGAGGGGCTATTCCACAGATTGACCCATGTTTAGACGTTCTTGCTTACTAAGGACAGTATTCCGCTTCGTGCCTATTGTAGAATGATCGATTGGATTTCGCCATTGCTGACTTCGTCCAGTTCAGAATTCACCGAATAGAGAAAAACTTCGGATTATAAGAAATCTGCTCTCCTAATACGGAACAACAGTCTACAGGCCAAATATGTGTAATTCAAATAGGTTTCCAGGACCAAGCCTGGACAGTTCATCCGCGTGCCAGCATTAGTTGGCGCATAACATGGATTTGATACAATTATTCAAGTCATTAGTGATAAAACGAGCTGAACCACACCTATGTACTAACACAAACGATGAATTGGGCCAACGAATTACTATGAACACAATGGATCGCTAAGTTTTATGCACTGTTTCCACTTTTGCTTCCACCAACGTATACTGCTGACTGTCGTTTTTTAATCCTTATCCCAAAACCCGTATACGTGTACAGGACCAATAAGTACGAATAAAACACCAGCATTCTACAAAATATACGTTTTCGCCCTTTCATCAAAGTACAAACTCACCTTTTCTTGACTCATCTTTTCAGGCATGACAATTATACAATGGTATCCCTTGACAGCGGCCACAAGGGCTAAGCCGATACCTTTAGACACGGTGTTTAGTAATTACCAAATGCAGTGACCTACCCGTATTTCCCGAAGTCGGTTCGATTAGAGTATCACCGGGTTTCAATACACCTTTTCTTTCTGCCTCTTCAATCATTCGCCAAGCAATTCGCTCTTTCACGCTACCCGCAGGATTTAGAAATTCGCACTTTGCCACTGTCAAAGATGTCCCAAATAAAACCGATTCAAAAGCGAAGGAACTTACAGAATTCGCAGTTGAAACCTTCACTCTGTGGGATACGATTAAGACGGACCAATGGAGTATTCCCGATCAATTCGGTCACATCTTTGGCAATCTTCGGACGCTGGACACTGATATTAACAAATCAATGACAACATTGGGCCTTATTCAATGTGAACGACTTACAAAGGTTTGTGGAAATGCGGACTTTGGCTTATGGGTGTTGTGACTGTATACGTACAACGACAGGGTAAATCGGGACGAGTCCAGGTGTCGTCGCCCATTTGCTAAAAATAGACAAATGTTATAAAAAGCCTAACTGTAGGGCTGATCAACGAAACCAACACCATGGATTGTTGTCTTGTGCAAACTGGTTACCAGTTCAAATCTGAAGCAAGCGTTTGTGATGCTCCACAGTTGCGAGTTGTACTATTGAAGCCAACATTCAATCGGAAAACCACAACAGGGGATTCACCAGAACTCGACCATTCATATGCAATAAAACCCCCTCGACGCGACAACCACTCTTCTGAAAGGATTTTTCCATTGCAGTAATTTTATAAGGCAACCAAACTTCGCTCACAATTTACTATAAAGTCTTATATGCGTTATTACATTTCCTGCACCTAGTTGAGAGATACATACCCACTGGAGCAATCGGGAGGTAGTCGTGAAAAACTAATTACTGCCAATCGAACGGGGATTTGAATGCGATCTTTCAGTACAATTCAGTTTTTCGGCTCATTAACTGTGCACCGGAGTCCAGTGATTTCAGCTTCTACAGCTCCATTCACCGAAAACAAGGAGAATAATGGAACGGGAGTCATGCATTGTAGGCAGTACCCAATTAGCATATTGACGGCAAATGCATTAGTTTGTCCAGTGTGACGGAAATTAAAGGCCACGCAACGAAAGTGTGAAATGATGCAAAACAACATGACTTAGCCAGGGTGACCTGTGGAGTCTGGCCAGGTGATCTGTCGAGCGAGAGAAAACTTCCCCGATGACCATTTGGCATACTGATCTGACGCCCACTAAACCCACACACTGTCCAGTATAAATGGGATATTGTGCTTCAAAGACGAGTTTGATAGCCAGAAATGATGGTACAGTTAACCTTAACCTTGACGACCACTCTGGCGCGCACTAACCAAAATGTATGTTCCGTTCGCTTTCGAATTTCAAGGAAATGGAGGCATCTTCATCATCAAAGACAGCAACATCAGTGTTGGCACTGATGCTTCACTCCCGTACAACCGTAAGGTTCGTCTAGTTATATATATATATATAATTGTATTAAAAGCCCTACGGTGAAGAGAAGAGAAAAAGAGTGGGTGAGGGAGGGAACTTAGTGCTGGCCTATGCCAAGCATAGTGAGGTGCTTACACCTCCAACCGCTCAGTCAGACAATCTGGAAAGAAACTGACAGCAAGAACGCCACTGACATCGATTAGCCACCATTTCTTGCAACGTCTCCAGCCAAGCACAGACGGGGTCACGGGTCCCCCATCCTGGGAGGCGTACAACACCAACAACACCCAAACTCTTCGTGATCTCTTTCACGCCTTTTTGCCGAGTCATGTGCTGTCCACCTCGCGGTTTGCGCCATCCTGAAGGAGGCAGGAAGAACAACACTGATTTCAGTAGACGGTGTTTCGGCATGCGTAGCACATGACCGAGCCATCGCAGTCGGTGATGCTGGATGTTTTCCCGGATTGAGGTGCCTGCAGCACAACCAAATACCCGTTTTCTAATCGCCTCGTTACTGACACGCTGACGCCATCCACAACCAGCCACGCTTCTGAGGCATCGGTGGTCGAAAACCTGAAGACGCCTCACATCATCTACCCGAAGAGGCCAT